AAAACAATATAAAAAATACTTTTCAAAAATTATGGTCAGAGTTTATATTTTATAAAAAATATAATTCAACAAAAGAAGTTAAAAACATATATCTTTATTTATCATTATTTGATTATTTGTTATTTCATTCATTTGAAGTAAAAATAATTAACAATTTAAAACTGGAAAATTGTGATATTAATTAATATTATCATAGAATGGTCAAATCAAAGAAATTAATTGTTTGTAAAAAGTATATAATAATAGAACATAAATATATCATAAATAATAGTTTTTTGAAGAAAAACAAACATTCAACAAAAATGCAATCAATATATTAAATTTAAACATTATCCAACTAAAAATAATATCCATTTGTCAATTTGCTATAAAAATGAAATTAAATCGATTTATAAATAAAATGAGTGTCGAATTGAATTATAAAAATACTGCCTTGGAACTTTTTTTGTTGTATTACTTGTTTGTTAAAATATTGAACGAATAATTATAACAATAAATATGTTATTGTTTATCATTTTTTTTTTATTTTTTACACCAAAAGTTTTTTTTATGATTGTAAAAGTTGTATTAAAAATGGAATTCAATCGTTTATTCATTTTTTGTTTGATTACAACTGTATATTGAATATTAATATTGTTTTGAAGTGTTTTTTGATAGACAATTTTATATTTTTTTTGACTTTTAGAATTACAGTTACTTTTAATTTTAAAAATACAAAAATTTGTGATTATAATAAAATAATTAAAAAATAGCTTTGATGGTAAAATTAATTAATAATAAAAATATTATTAATTACAAAAATAAAACATACAATTCCAACAACAATATTTTTAATTTAAATAATTTTTATCAAAACAAATTTTATTTTAATTTTTTTAGTACCTTTTATTTAAACTTAAAAAATGCATTGATTATTGTATTCATATAAAAATACAATTCACACAATTAAATATTAATGAAATAGAGACACTGTGGCGTTGTATCGATATATTTTATAAAATAAAATCATACACATTTTAGTTAATAATTGTATACTTTAACCAAAAAAATCAAATAAAACAAATGACACCCCATAAATACACTACAAAACCAACAAAGAAGTCAATAAATATCACACAAAGATCCAATTTGTTTGTATTTCAACATTGTATTAATAGATTATAATGTGATTTGTCAATAAAAAATTTAAAA